AATTAAGCTATTAGTAGTCGCGTTGGGACTAATTAAAGGACAGAAAAAAGCTAGAATATATATTTTTTGCTGTCAAAAAAAAAAGTCTCCTTTCAAACCTTGGAATGTTGCTAAAAGTAACGAAAAAGAAAAAATGCACCGAGATAATGGAAAAGGGTGCGACAACGAAGTTATCGAAAATTTCTCATTTAAATTTAACGTATATAGAAAAAAAAAGAAAATTCAGTTTCGCTGTGAAAAAATTTTAACAAAAAGATTCTCTGTATTTTCATTATATTAAATATTTTATTTTTATAAAAAATTATATATTTAACATTTTCAATGGTAAATAAAAAAAGGAAACTTTTTTTTACTCCAGAAAATGAGAGTTATATTTGGAAATGTGAAAATGAAATTGGAAAATGGATAATAAAGAGAGAAATCCAGAAAGTGATGATTAATCGAGAATAAGCCCTGAGAATCGCAGGTGGCAAAGGAGATAATCGCCTCTCTCGCTGACTCCTTTTCGTTCGCGTCAGAAATTAACGTTTACCGTCTGACACGAACTGTGTGGCATCGACCCATATCGCAATTGGGTTGGTAATTACCAGCAATTATTTTCGTACATCGTTTGGCCTATACGCAGCGCGTAATTGCGAATTCAAAATATATATAACCACTTGCTATATATATATACATATATATGGGGGTTTTCGCGAATGTAATTTTCACTCCCTCTTTGGGGGCTTTTGAACTTGCGTCGTATATGGGAGGTCGCATCGACTTCGAACCTGCCTGGCAGCCATTCAAATTCCCTAGAATTTTTCGCTGTAAATTTAGTGTATTTCGATGCGCATTACACGCGATATATGAGACAATAACTGGAATAAAAAAAAAAACGGTTCTAGAGCTTTGCTGATATTTTACGAAATCCATGTGCGTGTATTGGAATAAACGAGTAGTATAAATTATTTTTTTTTTTCATATCGAGCAAATAAACGACCAGGAACATTTTTCAAATTCATTCAACGCTATGAAAATAGAGGGGAATTCATATTATTCGAGCAATTATGTACTTATGATAAATAAATTGAAATTATTTTTCTCGTATTTTTTCTTTACTGAAAATATTTAAAAATTTAATATTTACTAAATTAATTATAAAAAAGAAAAATCTTTTTTTTTTTCAAAAAAGTAAAAAGTTTATAAATGTCATATGAATACAAAAAAAAACTTGTGTAGAAAGATAGCGAGAATGTTTTTTGTGTGTAATTTAACAAACAGAGATTTACAGAATTACCCTGCCAGTTCATCATAAAAGCTTTATTGGTACACTGTAAAAAATTTTTCTTGTAATATTACCACTTTCTACGTAGGTCCAAAATCTTACCTACTGTGAAAGTAGCATAAGTACGCATAAAACAGTATAGCAGTCTCTAGACAAGAGGAATTTTATTTTTAGAATATGTAAATTTACATCCTAGTATAAAAGTATACAACACAAGGTAATTTTCCCTTATACAGTCAGATTCTGAAGAATTTTCCAATGAATCTTGATTCGTCGAACAATAAACACGGAAATCTTTCTCTTTTTAAAGATGTACAACCCCATGACATAACCTCAAACTAAAAAGTTATTTCAAACAACAAATAAAATATAATTAAAATTGATGCCAACAAATTTCGAAAGATTCAGTTGTACATTTTTCAAAAAAAATTATTTTTAACCAAAAATTGATGTTAAATAATAATTAATTAACATTTTGTGTTTTTTCTTAAAACCTACCTACGAATCGTAATTTTTATCTAATTTTTATAAACAATAGCTCATTTTGCTCTTTGAAAGATTCTCTACAATTTTGTTTGTTGAATTTTGTTAAAAATATTTTGTTTAAAAGTTATGCAATAAATAAATTTTTTATTTTTTATATTTTTTAAACAAAATATTATTTAACAAAGCTAACAAACAAAATTGTAGAGAATCTTTCAAAGAGCAAAAAATGAGCCATTGTTTATAAAAATTAGATAAAAATTACGATTCGTAGGTAGGTTTTAAGAAAAAACACAAAATGTTAATTAATTATTATTTAACATCAATTTTTGGTTAAAAATATTTTTTTTTTGAAAAATGTACAACTGAATCTTTTCAAATTTGCGTTGGCATCAATTTTAATTATATTTTATTTGTTGTTTAAAATAACTTTTTAGTTTGAAGTTATGTCATGGAGTTGTACATCCTTAATATGCTACTTTTCAAAATTTTAAATACGTATTTCTAACACTGTATAAACTAATTGTTAAAATGCGATTTTACAATAACTTTAATCTATATATTTGGAGGTTATGTTCGCGCACTGAAAAAACAATTTGATTTACTTAAGACGAAACGTTTTTAATAACACTAAATTTGAATCACAATTAAAGAACAACGATTGGACAACAATTACAAATAGAACACAAAATTTCGTCAATGATAAAACGCGCATTTCAGCAAATTTTAGCCTTTAGCGGTTAGATTTTAAATACAGGTTTGCGCATGCGCTTTAGTTGCAATTCAATTCACGGGAAACACGTGATCGTTTTAATACGCACGCGCAGAACAGATTCAAAATTATATTTTGTAATTAATATTATGGAATGATTTAAACATATGAATAAATTATAAACAGTTTTATATAAGCTGGAAAATATAATAAACAAATGGACAGGTAACATTAATTAATATTACTTCAATTTTTAAGTGTTTTTTTAAATTGAAAATTTGTCATTGTATTAGGCGCATGCGCATCACTCCGATGAAAAAGGAAGTCTGTCTGTATCCGTTCATTATCGTTTCTGTGAAATTTACGAAAAGTTCTTGTGTCCGTTTTGCTCGAAAAAATATCTGAAAGTGCTGTGATATGGTGACTTATTTATATCGACTATAATAAAATAATATTGGCTTTTATAGAACAATCAATTAAAAGTAATTGTAATTCTAGCATTTACAGAAGAAAACCACGTATAAGGATACGTATTTCTTCTCCACTTAAAAAGGGCTGTCCATGTGCCTGCCGGCTTTGCCGTTTGGAATCGAAACATTTGATTGTCGATTATTCTTCTTTGTTCTAAAATAAACCGTAATTCATCTCTTGTCCTGTTCCGTTGGCTTATTTATCTACATCAGCCACGCACTAAAATGGTAAGTGTCCTTTATACAAATGTTTACTAAAATGATTAAATTACTCGATAATAGTAGGTTATAGAGTCGGGCAAGTTTCTTAAACATTAGCTTTAGCAGTGAATTATCAAAAATTAATGTCAAAATTTTAAAGCATTGTCTTTGTAAGTTACTTGCGTCTTTAAGGTTAGGTTGTCTTATTTTTGTTTAGGGTGGTGAAAAAACTCATCATTTATTGTGAATAAAATAATAAAGAAATTAGATAACTTTTTAAATAAATTTGTACTTAAAGGTTAGTTATTTTCAACCCAAAGTCTAATAATTGTTTTGATGTATGAGTGTTGTATAAATAAAAAAGATCGGTGTCACAAAAAAATCACAAGATCTGCCATGAAAAATATTATGATAAAAAAAAAGAATTTAGAATTTTCGTCACTTTTAATATTCTGTTAATTATGATAAACAACCTCTTACGTCCAAGTATTATTTTAAAAATGGAGATAATAAAACGAAAACTTCTTTTATTTATTTATCTTAATTAGCAAGTGAATTAAAAATCTGATTATTCAGCTAAAAGAACTTGAAATAAATATATTTCTCATGTTTGTTACAACAGAAGTCATTATGAAAGTAAATATCTCTATATCGTCTATTGCTTATATATTTTTTTCAGCGTTTTAATCCTTGTAACAATTAAAATTTTGTGCAACAATTTTTTTAAAAATTAGCAGTTTTTAAAGATTATATTAAAAAAAATATCTCAATACCGAAATTTCATCAACAAATATATAAACTTTTATGAAATACATGTGAATTTAAAAAATTTTATTTCTTATTGCAAAATTCTGTACTTTTTTTATGAACAAATATAGTTATTTTATTGCTCCAAATCGAAAAATACATTTTTCTCTTGATATTAACAATTCTTGTGCACTCAAGATAAAGTATAAATAAAAAATTTTTAGTAATATTTAATTTTGAGAGAATGAAAAGAGAAAAATAACCCGGTTTTTTCAACAAATCGGTCGGAGAAAGTTATTTCATTCGAAAAACAAAAGCGATTAGTTTATGCTTTAATAATATACTGATTTTTTCAGACCCTTTGGTTGAAAAGATCAAGTTATTTTCGAACAAAAACTCTTGTTATTTACTTAAAAATAAAGATTACTAAATTTTTTTTTCACATACTTCATCTTCAGTGTTTAAGGATTTTTAATATCAACGAAAAAATGTATTTTTCGATTTGAAACAAAAAAAGTAGACTACACAGGAATTCAGTAGAATAGAAATTTGATCTAAGTTTTGGGAAATATTCATACATGCTGTATTTCTTTATCAAAGTAGTTTTTTGGATGAATTACTTGTAAAATATTAATATTAATTTTATATTATTTAAACATTAAACATGTAGTATTACAAAATCTGATGAATAAAATATATTAGCAAAAATGTTTTATAAACTTTAAATTATTAGATATACTATTATTAAAATTCGTTATATGTAATGTAATTTCTTTGCAAGATAAAATTTTTTAATATCAGGGATGTCATACAATTGTCAGAGAAAATGCAATGATACTTTTTGTGGCTACCCTGTCAAACAATTACATGTTATTTTTGTGAAAAGAAAAACATAAATTATTGATATTTTTTACAGAAGAAAAAGTATAAGCGATTAAGGCCGATTAGTGGCACTGATTCCGATGATTCCTTCGAATCATCAAATTTGCTTCAAACAGAATCTTCAAGTAAAGAAATGCACAACGAATCAAAAGATAAAGACGGGAGATTAATCAATTTGGAATTATCTGTTGATTTAAATGACGAAACACCACAATCATTTAAAACAGTCGCTGCAAAAATGGGCAGTGCAGAACAGGTGCAGCGTTCTCTGGAGCCGACTCATTGCTTGAAATCCATCAAGGTAACAATATATGATTTTATTAACTTTTAAACGGAATGGAAGAAAATTTGCTTAACGAAATATCAATTTTCAGATTCATAAAACCAAGAAAAATAGGACAAAAAGCGACAGTGCATCAAACAGTTCTTCTTCAGCAGAATGTATCGACTCTGATAATTCGTCTACTCCGATAGCTGTTACGAAATCAGCGACTTCAAAAAATCAAAAAAGAAAAGCTTTAAAATCATCACCTCCTTTGCCAAACGTTACTGTTAAAAGTGGAGAACAGAACGGAAAAAGTGTTTTAAGCAGCGGAAATAAAAAGGACACAGTCGTGCCAGGTTCGTCGATCCCGGCGGCGCAAGAACCAATAGCACCTAAGATAAGGAAGTCCCGAAAAATTTCCAAGAAGGAAAAGCAAGAAGAAAGCTTCGCAAGTTTACGAGATCGTGACGTAACTGCTGCTATTATTGCTAGTCCTAGTGCTGATGTTGATTTAAATAACGAAACACCAAAATCAAGGAAAACCGTCGCTGCAAAAATGGACAGTGCAGAACAAGTGCAGCGTTCTCTGGAGCCGACTCATTGCTTGAAATCCATCAAGGTAACAATACATATGTTTTTATTAACTTTTCAACACAATGAAAAACAATTTGCTTTACAGAATATTCATTTTTAGATTCACGAAACCAAGAAGAATAGGACAAAAAGCGACAGTGTATTGAATAGTTCTTCATCGGGATGCAGCGACTCGGATAATTTGTCTCCTCCGTTAGCTGTTACGAAATCAGCGACTTCAAAAAATCAAAAAAGAAAAAGGAAAGCGTTAAAATCATCACTCCCCTTGCCAAGCGTTGCTGTTAAAAGTGGAGAAAAGAAGGAAAACAGTGTTTCCAAAAATGAAAATGAAATGGACACAGCTGTGCCAGGTTCGTCTGTTCTGCCGCCACAAAATCGAATAGCAACTAAGAAGAGGAAGGGTCGAATAATTGTCAAGGAAAAAAAACAAGAATGCTTTACAAGGTACATGTCGTTAAATTCAATTTTACGAGAAGATGACGTTGTTAATGCTGCAACTAGTGCTAACAATGACAAGGATAAAAATTTCATGAAAACATTAATCGAAGAAGACGTGAAACTTACGAGTAGAATGAAGATTCTGACAGCCATTTTTACTAATTTTATTATGAATAAACCCGATTGCAAACTTGCAAAAGAGTATGCAATTTACGGTTTTAATCACTATAAAATTATGAATTGTTTCAAAAAGAGAAGCGCAAATAGTTACACGACATGTAAGAACGACGATCCCGAATTATACGAATTGTTTGAGGAATTCAAACGAGAAATGATAGACGAGGAAGATGAAATTGATCCCGATCAATTCAAGAAATTTCAAGACATCAATGAAAAAGAAAATAAGACGTGGAGTAGTAAAGAAGAAGAGATCAAGGCGTATAACGAATTTAGAATTGAAAAATTAATGAGCATTGATTGTAAATACAAGACGAATACTCTTAAACAGGCGGCGAAAGAAATGGATGCAAATCTTCGTGATCATTTATATACACAGACACCAAAAATGCTTAAAAAATATTTAAATTTCAAGGAGTTTGGTGTTGCGGTAAAAGAGGAAATTATTAAAGAGAATAGTGATTTCAAGAAGAAAAATGCAGAAAAGGATGTAGCAGGTGATAAAAAAAGAACAGAGAAGAATGCAAGAAGAATTGCAAATTACAAAAAAAAGAAAGCGAAAAGAAAGCAAGAAAATGACGAATTTAACAATGAAAATAAAGAACCAAATGCAGACGAATTAATAGAAGCTCGTAAAAATCAGAAAAAAAATGCTCGCGACATTGCAAGTGACGCATATACGAAAACAACATGCAAAAATCGAGAAGCAAAAAGAGAAAGAAACTTGAACAAAAAGGATGACGAGAAGAATAGAAGTGAAGAAGAAAAGAAGAGAAATCAAGACAAAAGAATACAAGAGAGGGATGCAAAAATAAAAAAGAGAAAAGAAAATAACGGAAAACAAGAAAAAAAGTTTATATTCAAAAAAAATAATAAACAAGAGTCCTGGACTAATGCGGAAATAGAGAAAAAGAAGAAAAATGTAGAAGACTTGCTGTCCAAATTACTTGTGTACAATGAGTGTGAAGATGAAAAAATGTACACTTATCTAGAAGAAATAAAGGAAGAAACAAAAGAGTTTAATAAAATTCGTTTAGAGAGGAAGAAGATGAAAGAAGAAAAAATACGACGAAGAAAAAAATGAGGAAAAGGAAGAAGAAGAAACAGAAAAAGAGGAAGAAGAGGTTGAAATTTTAGATTTCACAGATTTAGATTTGATATGGAAATGTCCAAAATTTTTACCCCTACTTATGAGACTTCAAAAAGATTTAGTTGAAGGAGGAGCAAAAGGATTCGTACTTTTTTCGATGAGACGATTTGGGGTGCAGCATCTCACATATACTGCAACTATTTTGGAATTAGATGTCCTTCCCTACTTGAATGCAAATAAACAACAGAAAAAAGTAAATGAGATAAAACAAAAATTAAATGAACAAGATAAAAAAGATGTTGAAAACGCTAAACAAGACAAAAGTAAAAAGAAGCCAACAAAAATAGAAAAGAAAGCGGCAACCTTGCAAAGGAAATTCAATAAACTGGGAGTATTGTGGAATGAAATTTTCGATTTGAATAAAATTAATAAAATTAAGAACAAAAATAAACGTGAATCGAGTATACCACGATGTATACAGACGGATGGTGTGAAGGTTTCTTTAATTTATGATTTGAAAAAGGAAAAGGAACAAGATGCCAAGAAAGCAGTACCGTCAAATGTGAAGAAGAAGCAATTAAAGAAATATCATTATACACGAATGGTGGGCCTCGATCCAGGATGCAAAGCAATGATGGCTGGAGCTGTGCGTCATGGAAATCCTGAAATTGAGAGAGATTCAAGAACAAAAGTATCTACCAAAACACAGCATACGCCCATCTATGTAAATGCAAAAAGTTTTCGCTTTCGTGCTGGCGAGTATCGTCGAAGAAAGAATCTGCAAAAATACTCAAGAGGAATAGAAAAAAGATTTAACAACTTCCTACAGAAAAACACAAAATATAATGATGTTAACAAGAAAAATCCCCGAAAATATCTAATACTTGCCAAATTTAATCTAAAACAATATGAATTAAAGCAAGATGAATTGGAGAGAAGGTGTTTTAGACATTTGAGATTTAATAAACTCATAATGGTCCAAAGGGAAGTGGACAGACTTACGAATTTTATCATGGGCGACAATGTGAGAGAGCAACCGTGTTTAGTTTCAATCGGGACAACACAAATTGCTCCATTTATAAAAGGCCACGTGAAAACTCCACTCAAGAAGATCGAGAATCGACTGCGTGAACGGTCCAAACAAGTAGGAGAAGAGAGGCTCAAGATTATCGACACCTATGAAGCGTTTACGACAAAAATATGCAGCTCGTGTAACGAGGAACATATTGTCTCAAAGTCCCCAAAGAGGTATGCATTTTGTAAAAAATGTCATGTTATATGGAACAGAGACATCAACGCCGGAATCAATATTTTGAATATTGCCCTGATTAATGAAAATATATTGGAGAGAGGAGACATTCCCAACGCCAAAGTCTTCACGGGCATACAAAAAATGAAGCGTAAAGGACATGTGATCCAGAAGCAGCCGCAATAGCGGCATACAGAAAGTAAGTACTACTTTTTTTACAGTGTATCGTATTTTGCTATCGGAAATTTTTTTTTTTTAATTTTTTTGAATAATTAATTTAAAAAGAGATTTTATTATATTCAGAAAAATAATAATGCTAAAAAATCAGACCCAAAATTATTTATTATTTTTTCCACTTATAAAATTACAAATTTCAGAAAGTCCGATAGAATATTTATTTGCAATACTGATTTAATATTATACAAAATTTCAGAAACTCTTAATAATAATTTATTTTTACTGATTACAATTTTTTGTATTGTACATTATAAAGTAATTTTGTCACTTTCAAAGAGGGTCCACTTTCTTACCTACTTGGAAACTCACAAAAAAGCAATTTAATCTTGTACTATTACAACGTTTTGTTCTTTTTCCACTACGAAAGTTGTAAAGTTACAAGTTCGATTGTATTTTTAAATTTAAAAAGTATATTAATATCTTTCTGAAAATAGTAAAATTACATAAATTTTAAAATATAGTTTTACTATTTCAAAATGTAAAATTTTTTTATTTTTTACAGTGTAG